TCTCGTTTGTTGAAATTAAATATTTTCTTGCTTTGAATGGAGAAATATTTTTATGTGACAGGTTCTTGTGGAGATATTGTAGTTGCATGAATTTTTTTTTTCATTGTCATGTGTTGTATGCAACACATGGTTCACCTAGGGGCTAAGAATCTTCTGTGAGGAGAAAAAAGGCATGTTTTGTCATGATGGCATCCTGTAGATGAAGAGAGAAAAATGTTTCTGTCCTTTATTTTTATACTGCTTGATAGAATACCACCTATTAGGTATTAAGAGAAGTCCACTAGCAGACAAGGTGAAGTAATCCAATGAAGGATTTTCTTATTGGTTGGGGGCCAACGAAGAGGCATATCACAACTCAGGAGGGATGGAAAAATTAGCAGGACCAGAATCAAACACTGGAAAAGCTGAACACTGGATGAAGATAAGCAGAGCACAAACAAGACTTCCATATAGGAACACCAAACTTAAGGAACAAACTTAGCCATGACACCTGAAACACAAGCAAACCATGAATGAATTTCAGACCATGCTGAGTAACATGCCTACTTTAACAAGGACAGAAATCCTTGGTAAGACATGGCAATCGCATTATACTTTCAGCACTGCACTCTGCCCACCTTCTGCTTCTCAGAAAATGTGCCTGCTTTTATGGAGACCAAAACATTAGCAGTTGGCTACCAAAAAATAAATCATTTGCATAACTAATACTACTCAGGTCACTGTCCTGGCTATTTTGTGGGGAAGCTGGTAAATAGTTTTTCTTCATATCCAGACACATCCCAGGGTTTGCATTGGCTCTGTTCTGGCTGGGCAACCATTTGTTTTCTTTTTATATACACCACTAAATGTTGTCTCTTTGACCAATGGCAGCAGGTTCCATTATCATCTGTAATCGGCAATTCTGTCTGCATTTCGTTTCCGCTACATCCATAAAGTGAATTAAGTTTACAAAAAAATGTCAAAATATTTTCATTGTTTAATTTGTAAAATAAATTAAATGTTGATAAAAATTGATTAAATAATTAAAATGCTACTTCTTTATTATTATAAATTCAATAAAATATTATTAATTTTCAGACTTTTTACTTGCCAGAAGGTATAATTCGCTGTTTTCATAGTCTAAATTAGCATACCTTATGATTTTCTATCAAAGCTGAATTTTTATTAGTTTCAAATTTAAATATTGTAGCATTATGACCAGTTGTTGAAGAGCGATATTATTTATTGATGTATATTTATGGAATATGTACTTCACTGCGGACTAGCAAGTCCCATGGAATGGAAATCAGAAATGTCTTGTCATGATAGCATACTGTGAGTAAGGAGCAAGAGAAGTGAGAGTTCATACCTTTTTTCATTTATACTGCTTGTTGGCAAGACCATCCGGTGGCTGTTAGCAGAACTTGTGTAACAGGCAAGTGGGGTAATCCCACAAGTTTAGAAATTATGCACAACTTTTATTTAATAATAGTAAAAGGAAGATAAAACCTTATTGAGACTATCACATTAATTCCCTGTGTTAATGTTGCAGTTATTGTCCTTGTCTTTTGGTTGTTGTTTAATGCCACCAGGTGGTGGCTTTTATAAAATGCTGGCAGCCATATTGAAAATGTTTCATTTGTTCAGTTGTCAATATTCAGGCTAACAGGTGGATTACCTTATTGCAGATGCAATTGATTCATTGAGGGTTAACAAATGGTAGCAGAACTGGTAGCTGATCTGCAACAAAAATTAAGTGAATTTCCTTTTCTATTTTTCTGTTACTTTTAAAGTTTTGTGACTCTAAGACTTAGCAAGTGGGCAAAGATTGCTAGTAAATTCTATCACTTCATCAAGATATATTCACTGCTTGAAATCTTTGAAAAAAAAATTTTAAATGAACATTTCATTCATAAATTGACTTGTTATAGTTAAGGAAAGTTTTTTACTAATAGATGCCAATTTGTTGAAGGCCAAGTAAAATGTAAATTTCAAACAGTTTTCTGCACTATATAAGATGATATTCCTAAACAGAACTATTTTTGATATGAAAATCAAAACAATCCTTGAATAAAAGAACAGTAATGAAGGACAGTTAATTAATGAAATAAACTTTTCTAAAATCAATATGCAAATTAGTTAAACCTGAAGAGTGATATTGCCTAGAAGTAGATAATATATAATACAGATATTGAGCTTTAGTTTGTAAATTACTATAAAGTAGAGCTGAGGCTTTTAATCTCAGCATTTGTGGCAGAATTGAGCTCCAATTTCACATTTATTCATATAGATTCCATAATATAGGTTTTACTTAATTAGTTATGTTTCTATAACTCTTCAAATGTTGAATATATTACTAAGTATAATTTCTATTTTCCATTCTTTACACTATATTACTTTTATCTTATAAATGTTCCTTGTTCTTGTGAAATAAAAAAAAAAAATAATTGTTTGTATGGAAAATAAAGATCTATGTACATCAAATTGTCTTTAAATTAAATGGCAACAGAAGAATTATTGTTATACTTTTAAAATCTAAGCTTAAACATTAATTCAATGAACCATGAAAACAATGATAATGGCTTGTATAAATATATTTTTTACCTCACCTAATCTGGCAACCCTGAATTTGAATGAGTTATAAATCACTGAAATCGGACCAGTGGGAGCAGAAAAGTTGCCTACACACACACACACACACACACTGTACTTTATACATAAGATATAAGAATGGATAATTTTAATACATGTTCTTCCAAATGGCCTCCAAGGCTAGACAATGAATCTGTCTATGAACAATGGAAGAAAAGCTTACATATTTGGAGTAGGTTGACAGACCTTCCAAAACTAAAACAGGCTTTAGCCATTTACCTATCTTTAAGTGAAAAGGCCAGAGCTTCATCTTTTGAGATAGACAGTGAGTATTTGGAAACAGAGACAGTTGTGGACATTATCATCCAAAAACTGGATGAATTATTTCTGTCAGATAAAGGGAGATGGGAATTTTTTGCCTTTAATAACTTGTACAATTTGAGTAGAGCAGCAGAAAAAGAAATAAAGGATTTTCTGATTAATTTTGACTACACCTACTTTAAGTTTACACAGGAAATAGGACCCAGTAATGGCATTTATGCTCCTTTCATCTGTAAACCTTCTTGAGAAGGATGCACACTTAATAATGTCAGCATTGAAGGAAGTGTCTTTCAAAAATATGAAGGAAACCATTAAACATATTTTTGGCCATTTATTTACTACTTCAAATATTGATAAATGTACTCCTCAGTCTGAGATAAAAATAGAAAGTCAAGAAACCCTTTTTACAGATAGATTCATACATGACAGGGTTAACCATATACTCATGCCACCCAAGATGGTCGCAGTTCAGACAGACAATTTCCTATACAGTCACATGGCCATAAATTAAATCTTGTGGGTTGTAATGGGCAAGTTTCAAGATGTGTCATGTGCGAATCAGTATTTCATTGGGTACATGAATGCCCTTATGCATACAAGAACATTGATTAAGGTTTACAAAGAAATGTCAGAAAATGTTCTGTTGTCCTTGTTTGTGGGTCATACTAATAGTACAAGGTTACAATAATTGATAATCAGTATTAGTTCTAATCAGAATGGAAAATGTTTGGACTTTAAGACCAGTTACACTACTTGATTTTAATCAGGTGTTAAATTATTGCTGAATTTGATACATTCATTGTTTAATAATTTGTGTTCTTTCTACTAAAAATTTTTAATTTGTTAGTGCAGAAAAATCTCTGAACCAAAGCAGGGGTGTAGTGACTCAGGTAACATAGTGAAGCAAACCAGCATGTGGAAATATGATTTTAGCAAACTGGTTGACAAACATCCTATAGGTTATCTCTCACTTCCTCTTGCTTCCTCCTAGAAATGATGCTCTGATGACTGCAAAGTAAAACTGTCATTGATGCACTTCATTGATGTAGCAGTGGTGTCTGAAGAAGTGAAGCTGGAGATGACCCCAAATGCAAGACTTCATCTTTTCCAAAAGGTGTCTGAAGAAGTGAAGCTAGAGATGACCCTAAATGGGTTCTCCTGCTTGTAGGGCATGGTGCAGAGTCCTGAGAGTGAAAGAGAATGAGAACTCTTTAGTGAGGGTGGAAGAACAATAAAAGAATAGGTCGCGCTATACATGATGTCAGCTTCTACATGAATATATACCATAATCTCTGTTTATATAACCCTTAAAAGTTCAGACAGAAATAAAGGAACTCAGAACGTTCATTCTATTATATTTTGTGCTAATAGGAATATATACTTGAAAACATGGTGGATAAAATAATTAAAGGTTTATTGTAAAAACCAGTACAATAAGAAATAAGGTAATAGTTACACACATGATTGTCGCAAGTCAATCTAGTAGTGAGTGCTACTATTGGAAGGTTGATACTTCTCATGTAAGTCTGAGTCATACTCAACAGATCCCAGCTAGTTTCCATAGTCCGTTGACTTACTGATACATATAGGTAGTTACTACCTATAGTGTAGTTACTCATGGGGGTGACAGGTTATTCCATTACATCACATCCAATACATATCATTCAGAAATTATAAAAATAGGAGTTCAGATTTTTATAACAGAAGGGTAGGTAGGAATATTCATTCATAATTAATTTGTTTTTTTAGAAACATAATAGGCAGTAGTTGGAATAAACAGATAAAGTGGAAAATCAACTAAATCTGTGAGGGGGGGGTTGCTGGAATAACTGGGCAGTTTGGAAAAAAATCAAAATTTAAATAGCCAAGCAACAGCATCTATTCTGGATGTGATAGTAACTTATTTTTAAATATTTTTTGTATGGCTATAAAATAATAATACTTACTTACAGTGAGGGGTGCACAAATATTCATACACATATCAGTTTTTAATTTATCGTACTTCTAACTAAGGAACTTATTCATTAGTTGTAAATACAATAAATTAAAAATTTGTATGTGTACGAATATTTGTTTCCCCCCTCATGGTTTCTCTTTTGTCCAGTTTAGGGCCACATCACATTGAACCACAGGTTCCCATACGATCACCAAAGTTAAGCAGTGCCAAGCCTGGTCATTACCTAGATGGTTGTCGACTATGGAATATCAGGTGCTGTAAGCTTGGATGTGCAGATGGTGGAATCGATAAAGGCTTAGAATTGTTGATCAGAAAATGGCTGGTATAAAAAATTGTGAGGCGATAAAATATTTGAATGTTTACAGAAACACTGTTTTAATGAGTGGAAAAAGTTTCAAATGGAGCAAACAACCTCACCAAATCCAATTGCAGGATGAAACTGTTCAGTTCATACCAGGAGAGTTATTGAAACCATCAGGAAGAGGGTGAAGAGAAATCTACAAAGAAGCATGAGGAAGGTGGCAAGAGTTAGCTATTTTGGATAGGTTGCTTAGGATGACTGAAAATAAGATTTAGTACTAAAACTATACAAGAATCGATGACTACAGTTGCTCTCAAGTACCTCTAATCAAAAACGGCTTGAGAGATATAATAAAATGTTGTTAGAGATGCAGTGTTGATGAAGATGAAGGCTTTGTTTGATTGGACAAGAAGTTTTTCACTGTGAAGACTGTTAACTATCAAAATGTTAGGTCTTATGCCACATCATCAAGAACACATTTCAAGTGACAGAAGCCTGCTGTTACTTCTAATAGTTAAAAATTGCTCTTAGTGTTCATTGAAGACAAAGTGAAAGTGTAATAGCAGAATTTACCAGCAAATGTTTAAGAGAATTGTGTTGCCAAGGGTGTCAGTCACTTTTGGAAGTCACTGTCTTAACTGAAGATGTAGCTCTTATATACACAGCCAATTTGATGCAGAGCTGGTGCAAGAAACATTTATGTTGATTTGACAAGTCAATTTGGTCTCCATCAAGTCCTGACATTAATTCTATAAACTTTGCAATAAGGCACATATTGGAGAGCCATGTTTCATGCATCTCATCTGAACTATATCAGACCTGAAAGAATCTCTTATAATGTTGTGGTACAATTTTAGCAAAGAGGTGGTGAAGAAGTCATGTACTTCAGCTTAGGAGAGATTAAAGGCTTGGGTGAAAGCAAATGGTGGCCAATTCAAATTATTAATTTATGTAAAATATTGTCAATAAATATAAAAATCAACCTGTAAATTTTCATTAACTAAAACCTAAAACTTTTTATTTTATAATAAAATGAATAATGGGTAAATGTATATATCCCACATCATATTTCTTATTTAGAGCAGTGGTTCTCAAACTTTTTGGAATCTTATCAATAATTATAGTTGCACTATATACAAATTTTGGAAAAATATGTTATAATGAATACCGCAGAAAAGAAATAATGTGATAAAAAATATAAAATAAAACATACCTTAAGTTTATTCATTCTTGTGTTTATTAGAAACATGAGCCTAATGAGTCTTAGCGATTTCTTCAATGTTTAGGCATATATTTGATTGGTAAACTCTCATTTCCTCATCAATACATTGAAGAGTTCCTCTCTTTTTGTACTTAATTGTGGTGAGAGCAGAAAAGCCTAATTCACATAAATATGAATGAGATGAGTACCGCAGTATAATAAAGTAAATATATTTATTTCTTATGTCTGGACACATATTTCTTTGGAATTCCAGGGCACACCTAGACATCTCCCAGGGTGCACCAGTGTGCCCAGGTGCACCATTTGAGAACCACTGATTTAGAGGCTGAACAGTAATAAATTAAATTTAATTACAAAGTTGAACTTTGTAGAATATTGGTTAACTTGCAAGTGGACTAAACCACCTGATGTATTAGGTACTCTTCTTATAAATGAGGTAGATTTAGTCTTTTGTCTTTACAAGGAGATACAAGAAGGCAGCCATGTTACCAGGTAAGTCATTTGTCTTCTACAAACTCATTTGACTATTTATTAGTCATAGGATAAAACATTTTCAAAATTCACTTACCTGTATGCTATAATCTTTTTAGGGAAAAAAAAAACATTAAATTTATTTTTGTAGTGTTCTTTTATTTCCTGGACAATAATGGTTACATGGCATCAAGTAAATCTTATCACCATTGAGAACTTAACAAAGGCACGTCACCCATAATCCCACTTCAAAATGTCACCCCAATTTGACTGTGTTGACATATCAAACTATGAGTGCAGCTTCCACCCAGACTTTACTTGATTGTCTGTCCCATTGAGAGTAGCAGAATATAAGACTGAAAAAAAAAAAAAAAAAAACAGTTGCAGAATCAATCTTCATGTATTTTGCTGTTCATTTTCTTCATTAATTTCATTTATCAGCGGCGCAGTGATTGATCTTTCATGTCTTACAATTTGATTTAGAATGTGACATGCATTTTGACACATTCTCATTGTCACAGCACCTCAAAATTTCATAGATTGACAAAGATTGATGTTTTGTTATCTTGCTTGATATGGGACTCAGATTGGGTGAGATAAAATCTGCTGTTCAAGAGAAATAACAACATAAATGCAAAGTAAAATCAGACAGTCCATTTTATGTCAAAGAAAAGATAACAATGCATTCAAAATGTCAGTATTTAGATGGTTAGAGAAGAATTGTCCTCTGTTGCAGAAAAGAATGATTCTTTTCAGATCTTCACGGCATAGGTTTGAGTGAGAAAAGTATGTTTTCCATATTTGGATGTTCAAAGAAGAGATTACCACATTTCTACAAAGTGATTCATGTAAAGGGGAAGAAAGAAAAGGAACGACGTGGATCCTTTAAGGTAGGAAAAGAAGAAAAAGGAACGACGTGGATCCTTTAAGGTAGGAAAAGAAGTAGGACGTGGATCCTTTAAGGTAGGAAAAGAAGAAAAGGAACGACGTGGATCCTTTAAGGTAGGAAAAGAAGAAAAAGGAACGACGTGGATCCTTTAAGGTAGGAAAAGAAGAAAAAGGAACGACGTGGATCCTTTAAGGTAGGAAAAGAAGAAAAAGGAACGACGTGGATCCTTTAAGGTAGAAAAAAGAAAAAGGAACGTATGATCTTTAAGGTAGGAAAAGAAGAAAAGGAACGACGTGGATCCTTTAAGGTTTAAAAGGAACGACGTGGATCCTTTAAGGTAGGAAAAGAAGAAAAAGGAACGACGTGGATCCTTTAAGGTGGTACCTGTCCTGAAGTGAACAGTATGTCTATTATGGTAAACTAAGTTCTTTTAACAACTTACAAATCACTAAAAAAGCCTGAGAGATGAGCTTGTAGTGGACCATGGGTTTACGTGTTGTTAAATTAGGATCACATATGTTTATTCCTGCTAGAAGAAGGTCCACTACAAGAACATGGTGGACTCGGAGATTGAATCCACCATAAAGAAGTGTAAAGAAAACCAACAAGACTGAGATATATATATATATATATTAAACAACAAAATTTACAATGGACATAGACATTAACATTTGTGTTTGTGTGTGAATGTAAAGAGTTTGTATTTTGGTGAATGTTCATATGTACATGTATGTGTGTTTCTTGGCGTTCTCCCACAAATGGGAAGATGCAATCTTCTGCAAGAGCTTACATTGTAGATGTGTTTGCTGAAAATGAAGAAATGGAAAAGAGAACAAGGCAAGAAATTATATTTATAGTGTAGGGAGAGCATCCCCTAGTGAACGATTTGGACAATTAAGCAGGAGTTAACTCTGACAAGCTCATCATAACATGATATAAATATTATATATGTAAGTTTTTGGTGGCAGATAATTTTATATTTTTCAATATACAGTAGTGTCCAAAACTAAGGGACAAAATTTTAAAACCTAATATTTGTTAGAAATAACAACTGTGAAAAGATGAAATTTTGACAACTGGTAGTCGTTATCATCCATAATAAAATACTAAAATTTGAATCATTTGCAAAGGATAGAAAAAGAATTATAACAATTATCTATTTATTTTCAAAATAGGATCGTCCAAAAGTAAGGGACAAAATTGAGAAAAACAATGTAAACAGTATGCTATATTCAAATTTTTTGATTTCCTCTAAAGAATAAGTCTTACTTAGTCATTTGTAAACGTTGCATCAGCCGGCACCATGGCGAAACGCCAAAAACTTGATTACTCTGTGAGACAAGCTTTTGTGAAGCTACACAAGGAAAAGCACACCATTAGAGAGATTTCAGAGAAAGTGAAACATTCCAAGAGTGTTGTAGGCAGGGTTGTTAAATCCTACAATGATACTGGCAAAATAGTTAGTGCTTTTAAAACCGGCAGACCCCACAAAACTTTGGCAAGAGAAGATTGAATAATGCAGCGTATGTCATTAAAGGACCGTTTTAAGTCTTGCACAGAAATTAAAAGGGTTATGAATAGTACCTCATGTGTTAATGTGTCAAGACAGACTGTTTGTAGATGACTGCAAGAAATAGGGCTGTTTAATCGAACCCCAGGGAAGAAACCACTTGTTAGTTCGAAGAATAAGAAGAAGAGATTAGAGTTTGCAAACAGGTATGTAATTTGGACATATGAAAATTGGGCAAAAGTATTTTTCAGTGATGAAAGCAAGTTTAATTTATTTGGAAATGATGGAAAAAAAACAATGTAAAGAGACGTATTGGTGAAAGATTAAGTGCAAAGTGTACTAAGAAAACTGTCAAGTTTGGGGGCGGAAGCGTCATGGTATTTGGAATGTTTTCTAGCCAAGGTACGCCTCTTGTCCGGTTACAAACTCGTGTAAACGCGCAGATCTATAAAAACATTATTCAAGATCATGTTGTGCTAATCATACAGAATTCAGGTTTCGATAGGGCTACCTTTATGCAAGATAATGCCCCATGTCACAAGGCAAAGGTGGTAATGAGTTACCTTAGCGAGCAAGATTTGGAAATTATGGATTGGCCACCGCAAAGTCCTGACTTAAATCCAATAGAAAATCTTTGGAAGACCTTAGAGTGAAAGTTATGGAAAGAAATCCCACTAACATGGAGGATTTGTGGGTGAAGCTTCAAGAAGAATGGTCTAAAATTAGTATCGAGGATTGTCAAGAACTGATTCGTTCTTGTAGTCGAAGATGATGCAGCTGTCATTGAGAGCAAGGGCTCATTTACTAAATATTGATTGTACATGTATTTTTATTTTTTTTTGCCGTTTACATTGTTTTTCTCAATTTTGTCCCTTACTTTTGGACATTCCAAATTTGAAAATAAATAAATAATTGTTATAATTCTTTTTCTATCCTTTGCAAATGATTCAAATTTTAGTATGTTATTATGGATGATAACGACTACCAGTTGTCAAAATTTCAGTTTTTAACAGTTGTTATTTCTAACAAATATTAGGTTTTAAAATTTTGTCCCTTAGTTTTGGACGCTACTATATATATATATATATATATATATATATATATATATATATATATATATATATATAGTTATTAATCATTTCATCCCAAGTAAAGCAACAAAGCCACTATGACACAAGATTACTGAGTTTGAGAGAATATTAGAAAATAATACTATTGAGGAGAGAGAACAGGAATTAAGAAGACAGAAGATAATGATTGACATTGCATTTAAATTTTTGAAGATCAAAGTTAACTTGGAAGTAAGATGCTGTAAGAGAGTCGCACAAGTGAGAAGTGTGATAGAAGAAACTGTTAGCAAAGAACTTACGGTTGCATCTAGACCTTGCCACCAGTCTGGCACTACACTTAAATTAAGTCTAGGTACTATAATACTGTTATATTAAATAAAATGTTTGGATTATTAGTATATAATCAACATGTAAAAATATATGCACATGATCAAGTGGTTAAAATATTTAATTTCTGACCATGAGATCTGAGTTCAAATCTTACCATGATTCATTGATCAGGGATGTCACTTTCTTATGTTATAGGCCTAGGGAGGAAACACCTTTGGAAAGTGCCTGGCAACCATATTCATTTACCCAAGGCTTGAGTGAAATTTTAGTAGACATAACTGTTTAGTAGCTGTTGATAGTTGTGCTATGTCACAAGTCATCATGACTGAGGTTTTGAGTGTACTGGCCTTGTTCAAAGAATTGATCATGCCAAATGATATGCTCTCTCCCAAAAACTGTAACTAAGATCTGCTCAGTATAGTTGCAGTATAAAAACAAAGCCAGTGTCTGTAATAGAGTTCAGTTGGAAATAAGCCAACCATTAAATAATGTTCACAGTTTCAATATTTGAAAATTGAATTATATTAGCTGTAACTGTTTGTATCAGAAGGATAATTTAGCACCTCACTTTATGAGAAATTGAATTATGCATATATCCACTCAAAGAAATGTGGCATATGAAAAGCATTAGTGTATAAAGTACAAGAACTCATGCATGGACCCCTTCAAAAGTATTTTTTTTGGAGACAGATTTAGGTGCTAGTTCTTGACCCTAACACCTCCCTAGGGAAAAGTATTGACTGGATGGATGGTCACCTAGGGCTTGATCACATTATAGTTCATATTCACGTTTCATTAAAATTTAGTAGAATTCAAAGCCCAGCTTTTTTAACTGGCAGGTATTGCTTGGAAGTTCAAAATGACGTTGGGTCCGTGTCCTCTGCCTACCTGTACACCAATACCTGTAAATTGGAGACAGGTGATGAAAAGGTAGTTGGTGGTCAGTACAGGCGATACAGGGACTACATCAATGCCATTCTTGAAGACCTGCAATATATGCTTTATCCAATTAGAAAAGTTGGTTAACGTTTGGAGTAATTGGTGACATGTCGACACAGGTATTGCTCAAGCCACAAAAGAAAAGTGAGACAAAGTAATACTGTTGAAAGATGTCAACATGCACAATCCTCCCTCTGCTATCATCCAATACCTTTTGGATGCTTGACTTTTGAAAAAATGTTGGTCTATTCCATCACATGAGAGTATGACCACCATGATGGGGAATTGGATGACTTACAATACTAACTGTTCAAGCAATAAAATGCCTGATATATCACTTGTCTGTTTACCTCCAAGTAGAGGTTCAAATCAGACCAGCATCCACTAGGTGTTGGTTTTATCTATTTACTTTATGGACAGAAAGTTGCACTGCTCATTATTGTGTGTGTGTGTGTGTGTATTAGTGACAGTAGACATCAAATCATATATTCAAACTGTCCGTGCAATTAGTTTGTATGAATATAATGAAGTGTTTAAATCTGAAGCGTAAATGCTGAAATTATGGCATTGGGTGTCTTGTTTGGAGACATTTTGCAAATAGTTTGACAATCTAATTATCACTATCAAACTGAAGGGACTTGCTCAGATGCCAATAAAAATGCATTAAAATTGACAGGAGTGTGGCTGAATATCTCTTACAGAACACAGACAAAGCCTGAGGCATTGGTTTAATGCAAAGTTATTCCTAAATCCAATAATCTCTTGTTCAATAAATAGCAAAATAATAAGACTAAGTTGAATACATTTACATATATTGGCAAGGTAATATATTTTATAAGAGCCATTTAAAATTAGCCAAATTTCCTGCAAAGTGATGTATACTTCAGAGGAATTAGAAGAATTCTCACAATCTCCAGAATTTCATAGACTCTAGATATTTATTCTGGTTTGGTAAATGAAGACAGAATTGAAACAAGTTCTTTGTAAATATGGGACTACTATTCCTAAAGGTACTCAATTCTGATGGAATGTTTTACCAACTTACAGGTATTTAATTTTGTGGATCGGGGTTTGGCAGATCTTCCATCTGTGTTATTTTCTTTGTTTCTGCCACTTTATTTTAACAGTTCTACAGCAGTTGAAATGGTTTGATACCCAATTTTCTGTTCTGCTGCTTTCTCCCTTTCCAGATTAATGTTGGTCTTCATCATCTATTTCAACTGTTCTTTGTCACAGCTCAGACAGCAGCCATCATGTTTTTTCTCAGAGCAGATTCTGTGGTAGTGAATATGGCTGGAAAGTCATTCATCCTTATTTCTTTCTTTAACATTTCTTAACAGGTCTGCATCATTTGAGATCATAGTTTCCAATCTGTTGCATTTTTTTTCTCCCTTTCCAGTTTAATGTTGGTCTCTTCATTATCTGTTTCAACTGTTCTATATAACAATTCTTTTGCTTGTCCCAATTTTGCTGTAGACCAAAAGTGTGTACAGCATAGCAAGTGTTCGTGTGAGGAAGGGGGAATTGTGTAAAATTTCTGGAGAGCCACAAGTGCTTTCTTCTTTGTTTCTCTGGAATATTGGTTAGCTTGCAAATGGTCTGACACACAAGTAGACTAGACAAATAGCCACCAAGTTAAAATTAATTCTGAGTCACTTAATGGAGATATATATGGGTGAATAGAGACCACTTATGCAAATGTGTTTGGCAGGTCCATTCTAGCAAGATGGACCAACCCACCTGCAACATTAGGCACTCTCCTATAAAAATGAGGTAAAATTAGCTGGCTTGCCTTTTCAAGAAGACACAAGAAGGCAGCCATGTTAGCAGGTGAGTCGCTTGATTTCTACAGTTTCCTTTGGTAGTTTTGGGGGGGTGTCTTTTCTTAACACATTGGTGAATGTTATGTCAGTATTCTCTATCACTTTTCCATGTGTAGATAGTTTTTTTTTTTTTTTTAAATGAAGCAACACATGTTTGAGACAAGTGAACACTGAGGTCAACACCAATAGGTGACAATCTGTTTCATGCTTGAATGCAATCTTCATTGGCAAGATTTCATTGAAGCATGAAATTATTTCCAGTTGGTGTTGACCTCAGTGTCCACTTTTATATTTACATATGCTTGATCCTTGATATTGAGCACTTTTAACTATAAATATAGCACACCTTAAAACCATATTTTTATCATGCAGCATGCAATAGAAATACCTCCCACATATTTGTAAGACATATATATATATTGTCATCCACAGACAGACTGTTTTTCTGTATCACGGCTCTATATAAATTAACAAAGTGTGACAAGTCATAATGAAAATATACAGAAAGTCATTTACTTGTATTTCATAGATTACACAAAAGTATTCAATAACGCAAGACACAAAGAAAGTCTTGAAAAGCTTGATCTACATGGAAAGGATATATAAAATATAATCAGTAAATTGAATTTTGAAGAAACCTGAATGGAAATTGAGAAAAAGTTAATGGTGTACATTAGAAAAGAAAGACTATCTCAAGGTTATTTTTTTACTGGATTTAATTTTTACAGATATTTCTCAGAGAATTAGGAGTCATACCTGGATTTATTATTGGAAGGCATAACCTTAAGAATAGACATTCAGAAGGTAACACTGTGATGATGGCAGATTCAGAAGATAAACTAGAAAAACAAGCTATTGCAAAATGTAATCAATGAAAGTAAAAAGACAGGAATGACCACTAATTATAATTAATTAATAACATTAATTATAAGACAAAGGACATGATTAGAAGCAAAAAGAGATAAAGGAAATTAAGAATCACACCTAAACAATTTTGTTACCTTTCAAAAAATGATGTATGTATTCCGAAATTTGAAAATACAAATCTGTTGTAGCATACCTATGGATGATAATGGCTATGTCCCCATCCCCATAAATGCAGTAGTAAATACTGTATGTGGGTCTGCAGTTGGAGATTCATTATGGAATTCATTTGATTCACTTCTAGCAGTTGACTACTACTTCTACGTGCTGCTGGTGAATCTTATATGTGTTGTTCTTGTCCTAAATATTATCGTTCATTACCAACCTTTGTGTGATTATTCTATTCGGTAACCTTCCTTAGGTTACAACACATTTGTTATAATATTGTCCTCCATATATGAGATTAGAAAATGATATCCTGATAACAGCATTATCTGACCTTCTCATGATACAGATCTTTTTAATACAGATTACAGATGTAAAACTCTAGACTGTTACAGATTGAGTAAGTTTTACAAGGTTTTCATGCACTTGCCATTGTATCACTAAAAGGAAATAAATAATTATGATTCATCATTGAAAATGACCTAGTTCCATTGAAGAAAAGACCATTTTTGATGTTCTCTGGTTCAGATTAAATGCTTCCATTTTTGCTTAAGTTAGTAATGGGTTTGAAATTAGTATTCTGCTGTCATATTCAAGCTGATGGAGTCTCCGGAGTGTCATGAATCAATAGTTACACCAGCATTATTCCAGACTTTGAAAATTCGACCACAATTAGTAAATCAATTTAAAGTAAAGATCCTATTAATCTGACATTTATCTCTGGCTGTTGTCTTAACTTTGAAATTGCAGTTGGACCATTTTGGATAATTTCATCTTGTCATCTTCAAGACAGTAGATTGAAAGCATCTTGACAGTTATCTCTTTAAGACAGCAGACTGAGACCATTTCACCTCAACAGCTATCTTTTTTTTTAATCTTGCCAGTTACCAACAATTTTTGAATGATGATTTTTTTGTGCTTCCAATATATTCTTAATTCTTGTTATTTCTGATACTGGGTGCCAATATATTGAAAACACCAAAGATTAGACTCTTTTTTTTATACCTATTCTTTGACATTGAGAATACTCCTGAAATGACTTTGTATGCAAAGGATTAAATAAATCTCAATTGAGGGAGGAAAAGCTAGATTATTAATGTATATCAAATCAAGAATTAATCTGTTAAGAGTGAATTACCTAATTTTAAACAAATTCAAGTGAGAAATATGAGTGTGGAGTTACCCCACTTACTTTCCTAAAAATAACTGTCACTAGAGGACACTCCTAAGTCTATAAATAGGCAATAACATTCTCGGTCATCCCCTTTTGCCTATTTCACCCGGGGGAGGATAAGATGTAGGTCACACATAGGTAAGAACACTGCTGCTGAGGTGCATTCACTTCCTTTGGTCCTCTGTTGACTTTTGAACCTTCTCATACACATGCATATATATACATGTGTCTATCACACACACTTGTTAAATTTATTCTACACGAACAGCTTCACTAGTTTAAATGTTTTCTTTATTTCTGCTCATTGTTTTCCAATATGCTACAATATTCTATTGTCTGTTTATACCATTGTTTTTTTAATACATACCTATTGTTTGTTTCTATATATAGTTTTGTCATTGCCTTATTTATTTATTACCTGGACTCACATACTGAGTTCACCATTTTTGTTGTGAGATAAATATACCAGGAGACACGTGTTTTCCACTTAAGCACTCAACCATCATACTCCCACAACAAAAGCTACTCTCAAAAAATGGAATATTCCATTTTTCTAAATTGTTGTTGTAGGAATTGTAAAAGATAATTTTCAGAAGTAGGTAAGGTCCTAAGTGATAAATAATCCTTAGAAACAGGGAAAAGAATACTGTAGCATTATATCTTCTTTCCTACATATTAATGAAAACTAATTTCTTCACAAAGGAAGAAAAGTCTTCAAGCAAACATCATTCTACCAATGAATATTGAAAATACCATGAAAAATTGAATAAAATCTAAGAAAACTACACAGAAACTATTAATAGCAATCGGAAAGATGGCTGAGATTTAAGTATATGTAGTAAGGAAAAAAGGATTTGAGAATTAAACACACACAGGGTACATTGAAGGCAAGAATAGAAAAAAGACAGTAAGTAACCTACTTGTAAATATGCAAATAGGTTAGGGAACAAGTACCAAAAAGAGAAAGAAGGGTCACAGAAAAAAATGTCTGAATAGTCCTGGCACATTGAGTATATAGCTATACTTCAAAATACAAAATTTTTACCAGCATTATTGAACAGTCTGTTCCTTTTTATTACATGTTGGAATAGATATGCTTTTTATTGGTTAATTTATATATAAAAAAACAACTATTGAATTTAGATATGATTGAATAATTGTTTCCTAAAGAGCTGTATTAAACATATAATCTGCATAGTCTTTTCTTTTCCAATTTAGTGTTCAATTATCTTGCTATCCATTATGAGTCTTTTATTTTTGGCTTAATGACTAAGATGAAATCTGTTTTGTTATGTTCCAAATATTGATCTGTTTGTGCTGGAGAAATCTCAAGGGATGTTCTATATTTATTGGTTCTTTGAACTGAAGGTTGATTAATTTTATGCAACTTTTTCTCTTGCTAATAATGTCGAGGCTGCTAAGGGACAGCAATAATGGAAATACTTTCCTTATTTTTTTTGTCTCCTTTTTAATAGTTAAAATGATATTCACAAGTGTTTATGATTACCTCATGATTATTAACAAGAATGATTGTACATTTTTTTTGGTTAAGGATTCCAGAATAGTCATTTTAATTTTTTAAGACTGGCTCAGTCATTTTTGTTAATTTTGTTGTCATTTGTTAAATAAGCTTTTATATAAACAGTTTACATACTGCTTTTTTTAGTCAAGTTTTATGCTACACAGTTGGAGTGAAGTTTGCCATAAGATTTCATATTTTTATTAATTACTGGTAGCTTTATCTTAAACTGGATCACAGTCACCAGCATGTTCCGTTGTTTTGGGAGTTTTTCAGATTACAAATTAACTGAAAAAAGGAGAGGTAGTAATATCTATACTGCATTATTAGTGTTCCTTATGTTCTGAGATGGGCTATAAATTTGCAAACTTATTTATCTTATTTGTTTTAATATATATTTCTTTACCCAAATGTATAAATATTTTATGGGATAGCTGAAATAGGGATGACCAGAAATGATAAAAGCATTATATTATACAGTCAGTTATGTGCCATGCACGATACATGCTTAGGCGATCATGAGCCTTTTGATACATGACTGACCGCAGTAGGTTGCCATTTCTTTCTGTGGTAGACCAGTTACCATACAAAGCTATAGAACCTGATCTGTCCTGCTATTTACCCATAGCTGGGGGCAGAAAAAGAGGATTCATACCTTTCCCAAGGGTATTTGCACATAAGTGAATGTAATAGATTTGACTGGAATTTGAACTCTGCTCTCTGATTGCTCAATCCAAGCTGCTATCCATTACTCCACCGTGCCTCCCATATTATACACATTAGCAAATTTATATTCCAATTATTCCTGAAATAGTAATAGGGTTTTATTTAAGATCACTAAGAATTTGAAGCTGCCAATACTTAAGAAGAAATATATATAGAAAACACTTTCAGAAACCTCTAATATCCTTATTGTTTCATCCCCAATTCTAAGAGAAAGGTATACAAAATATACAACCACAAAAAAGATAACATTATTAACAACAATAAACTAGATAAAAACACACACACAATACGACCTACTAACTTTATAACATACATTATCCACTGAGAAAAAAAAATTCTTGAGAATGCTGCTATTGAATCTTATCAAAATATTAATCTGCTCCCTGGATTTTTTTCAAATATTTCCATTCTTGAAAGAATTAATACTTACCAAAACCAACATACATGAATATAAAAATGTAAAAAAGTTAAAAGAAAACAGTTAGTCATAACCTCATGTTGTTTAAAATATGTAACACATAAATTAATCCTAAACTGAAACAGTTTAATTACTAAATTACTTTAATTGCATAAAAAAATTCAAATACATCACTTGGTTTTGTTTATTAGATACTGAATTGTGTCACTTGCCTGACTTTTTGACCAAAACCTGATGAATATTTATGAGAGTTCTTAAGTTTAAACATTTTAAAAAACCAATAACATTGTATATAAATATTTGTTAGAGAATAAAATCCTTGAATTTGCCTTGATAAAGTCCCTCAGAGGGTGAAATGTGTTGACTAAGATAAGTTTTCCTTTTGTCTTTATTTGTATATTCTGAAGTAAAACATCACCACATGATAGGCAAAAAAACTCTTCTATATGCTCTGTCACTTTTGAAGTTTGGTAATCATGGCTCTCCATAATTTCCTCTCTTTTGCAGTTCTTAGTAAATTTTTTCTTTACTAAATCCTGTTCTGCCATCCATTTACACAAGCTCGTTAGGTAAGTTATGCACCATTTTCTACTGTTCTTTTTGGCTTCAATGTTAAATTTTTCAAGCCCATTTACTTCCTGTGCCCCAGAATTTTCAACTCTCACTTTATGATGTATAAGTGTCCTTTTTGTTTCCATTTTCTCTAAAGCTTTCTGATTGCTCACATGTTCAGTCCATGCTATTGTCAGCATCCTTCTCTAGAACTGCATTTGCTTTAAGCCTCTTCTTCATCTGTGAGAAGATTGTTTAGCATTCACTGCCATATAGGAGGACTGATATTATGTCACACTTCAGTACTCTGTTTCTAATGAAATTTTCCTTGCTTAGCTTTTAGAAGGCAATTTTTGCTATCCCAGTGTGCCTTCGGATTTCAGAGTCACACTTTCCATCCTCTGTTAAAACACTTTCTAGATATTTAAATTTTTGTGCTTGTTAGATTTTGTTATCTCCAATTTGTAATTTGCATGTTGGACTATTCCATTTGCTTACACCCATATATTCTACCTTCTTACAATTGATGCTTAGTCCTTTCTTCTTTCTTTCTTCTATATTTGTTATCAAGACTGTGTCCTCTGCAGGTCTTAAGATTGTGGCCACCAATAATGACTCCTGGTAGGACATTTTATTCTCTTACAATTGTCTCACTGTGTAGGTTGAATAAGCCCACTGAGAAGATAAATCAGTGTCTTACATCCTTTTCTATTTTCGTGTGTTTACTGAATTCATTTTCTATTCATGTATAGGTGGCTTGCTCTTAGTATATGATTTGGATAATTCCAATATCTTTACCAAATATGTCATGGCAATAAATCTAATGTAAGATAAACTTTGATTGTATCTTATGAAATATTTTAAGTAGCTTTGTATTGATTTTGGTTCATTAGAAAGTATTATTTGCTTAATATCAAAGGTTTCCTATCTGTGCTTTTATAAATATCATGAAATCATGGATCTTTTGGTATAATTTTATAATGTTCCGTACTTTACCATTTGAAATGGATTTATAATTATTCAGTATGTTTTGGCTGGAAATAAGTTTGCTATCATTTCTCTAATCATACGAAAATAAATAGATAAAATCATGAATGGTAACCAGACATTCATTTGGTTTGTCAAGTAAAATTAACATTTTTTTTATTTTTCAACATTAACTTTATTGAATAACTATTTCGTTACTTTACCTTCCATTGCCATCTTTCCAGCAACTTCATGTTTCCATCCTCCCAGAATGTTTTTCATTTCTCAGCAAAGAAATACTGTTACTTTTAACATATTCCTGGTAAATGAATTTTTTAAGCCCATTCTGTAAACATAAATAAATGATAGAATCCAATTTCTGATGAATATAGTGAATCAATTAAATTTGCAAACCAAATTGTAACAGTTATTGTCATTTTCTATGTGCAATGTCCCTCCATGTCCCTAACTATCATATCAGGGTGTCCTGGGTATGACGATAAACTACATCCGCATCCTGGGTAAGACAATAAACTAGGTCCAACAGCAAGGCCTCTGATACTACATTTTTAAAAAAATATTACCAGCTATACATTTTTTTTTTTTGAAAAAATAGTGTTGCCAGCTATATGTTTTTGAAAAAAATATTACCAGCTATACATTTTTTTTTTTTTGAAAAAAGTGTTGCCAGCTATATGTTTTTGAAAAAATATTACCAGCTATACATTTTTTTTTTGAAAAAATAGTGTTGCTGGTTATGTTTTTAAAAAAATATTACTAGCTATACATTTTTGAGGAAAGAAATATTAACAGAAATAGATTTTTGACAAAACAAAAATATTACCAGGAAAAAAAAAAGTTGTCAGCATTAAATGACCCATTGAAATTAATATGCCATAAAACAAAACAAACCAAACCTATCATATCAAATGTAAAGAGTTGTGCCTTCTCCTAATATATCTGTAACCAAAATTACCATGATGACACATTAAGGTGTCCCATTGGGTGACAGTTAATGATGAACTGCATCTTTTCTCTTGGATTAATATCTGGAGAGCCTTGGGGATATTTCTTTTGTCTTTGAAACCATTTTTGTAAGGTAGGTAGTAGCTTTGCAAAATGTGTTATATGACTGTACTCTACAGCTGAAAGTTTCTGGATTACTATGCTCTTCCACTCAAAAAAAAATGTCTTTCCCAAGAATTTACAATAATTCTCTGCATTGATCTTGAACAATCATCAATTTTAAAGGCACCTGTAATTTTACTGACAGCAATACATCCAGAAACATCACTTCATCATCAACATCCTATTGTCTTCTATGTCATATTGGTTGACTATTTTCCCCAAAGGACCCAACATCTGGCCTGGTCATCAGGTCCATCCAATCTAACTCTACATTCATCACTAAAAATAACTGTTGAGAAATCAGCACTTTTTTACCCAACATACATGTTTCTCTTTGTTAGTCAAACTATCAAGTTTTAAGTTTAATATAAAGACATTAACATAACCAATGGAGAGGAGAATGGCTGGTGGCTTAGATTGTGGAATTAGAGCCGAGTTCAAATTCCAGTCAAATCCATTACATTCACTTACATGCTAATGATCTTGGGAACAGTATGAATCCTCCTCTTCTCCCCCTAGCTATAGGTAAATAGCAAGACAGACCTGGTTCTATAGCCTTGGCTGGCAACTGGTCTAGGAGAAGAACAACTGTGAATTCAAAAGTTGAGTTTTTTTCTTAATGATCATTCCATTCTTCTTGCTTATTGTCATTTTAATTTGTCCAAAATCTTTCTTTACATTCTTAAAGACAGTTGTTT